AATCTGTTCTCTTGAAAATGTTGCAGAGTGAATTGCCACAGGTGATAGGAACTGCCAGTTTGTAACAGTTTGGTGCTCAAGCTAGTGACTTGAGATCTTGGAGGCATTCAGTTGCTTTTGTCTTTCAATTTACTGTTCATACCTACACTGAGGTTTAAAAACTGAATTTTCCATTTTGCATTTCAGTGTAGGAAAAATGATGATGGAGACACAGCTGTTGTTGTTGAAAAGGACCATTTTATGGATGATTTCTTCCACCAGGTAAGAGTCATTTACAGAGACCCAGACACAGGCTTCTGTCTTTAACATGAACGTAATTGTGCCTTTATCAGATCTGACACAGTACTAAATAATACTGAAAATACAGTTTTTAAAAGTTACTGTTTGAAGTATATAAGTTCTCTAGGATTTTTAGTGCTATCAAAGTATCAGTTAATACTGAAAACAAAAGCAAACGTTGTTCCCGGTAATAGACTTGGGAGAGGTTGGGTGAGGATGGTAGAGCTGTGTACATAGAACACGGCGGAGCCTCTCTCCTCCCCAGATGAGAGGCTTTACGCAGACAGGTTAGGGCCCTGCTTGGCAAGGTGGTTCTGCCTGCTAACTAACGTGCACATCCTTCTCTGGATAACTGGTGGTTAGGTGTTGGTAGATAGCAATTTCTTCAGGTTCGGGTACCTCTCAGAGAGACGACCATGCCCTGTGCTGGTTGTTTTAAAGGGTCTCACAGGAAGACCATTGGCTTTCTCCAGGCTCAGGGCCACTTGGCCCTTTGGAAGGTGGAAGTACTGGTAACAGTGGTTGTCCAGCCTGGGCTGAGGGTGGTGCTGAAGAGTCCAGTGTGACGTCGGAGCGTGCCTTTCCCAAATCTCTGACTGAAGCCCACATTCCTCTCCTCAGAGTGTTTCTGCAGTTCAGAATATTGGGCACTAGATCACGTGGACTTTCTCCTCAGTCATCTCTTTCCAAACCTGTTGCCGTCAAGTCGATTGCAACTCATAGCCACCCTGTAGGACAGAGTAGAACTGCCCCATAGGGTTTTCAAGAAGTGGCTGGTGGGTTTGAACTACCAACGTTTTCGTTAGCAGCCGAGCTCTTAACCACTGCGCCACCAGGGCTCCAGGTCATCTCCTTACGCATAAGCACATGTGTACTCGTGGAAGCTCTGCTTTGCCTGGTCACCAGTCAGTCTGGCTGTCGTCTGAGGTGAGGGGACAGGGCCACCATGTCTGTAACTGTGGCTCCTGGCTCTGACCTTGAGCCTGTGCATCCACTCGGACTTCACAGGAAGCCTTTCTCTCTCCCTCCTACCTCCCTAGGCCGTCCCTGCCTCACACCCTGCTTAGAGTCCTAAACCCAAGTGAGATTTGTCACATTTTACATAATTTCCAATTTTTGAGATTGAGTCACAGGACAAATATCTTGCCTTTGCTAAATATGAAGACAAGAAACGTGTCCGTAGTATATTTTTTTAATGATGAAAACTTCATTTTCAGGATTGGTTTTGTTTATGCTGAGTCTAAAGTATAATTATTTCAGTGTTTAGACTCCTACAGAGAGTCTAATTGGGTCTGTTAATGTACGGATTTGAAAATACATAATATGTTAGTAAAAATAGATGAAAAGTTATCAGCTTTCCAGATTCAACCGGGATTTATTGAGTACCAAGTATAAGTCTGGTCATGAGATTTAAAACATTTATCATACTTCCTAATTTTATCTAGTGGAAAAAAACATGAAAGTAAATTGTTAGATACAAGAATTTACTATAATGCATAAAGGAGTTAAGTACTGGATTTTCTGATTTTACTCCTTGGAAATAAGACAGTTTATTGTCTTAGACTTCCTACCCACTTTGTCAAATTATTATTTTTATGTTTTATGCCTCCTTTACCTGGGTGCTTAATTCTCCCATACCAATTCTTTGTAAAAATATATTCTTTATTTTAAAGAATCTCCTAGCATTAAATGTTGTTAAATTTAATTCAAAAATTATGTACTGTAATTCACTGAATACCGTTAAGCTGGAATCTTTGTTCATCTAGTACTTATACACCTTTGCTGTTGGTGTTTAAGGAGCCCTCGTGGTGCAAACAGTTAAGTGCTCAGCCACTAACCAGAAAAGGTTGGCAGTTCGAACCCACCCAGCGGCTCCGCAGAGAAAGACCTGGCAATCTGCCCCCATAAAAATTACAGCCTAGGAAACCCTATGGGGCAGTTCTACTCTGTCACATGGGGTCGCTATGAGTCGGAATCAGCTCAACAGCAACCAGCAACAACAGCATTGGTGTTTGCGGGGATGCGTACAAAAACAGGTCGCTTGTGTGTTAGGAAGGTTGGAGTGTGATTGAATTCATTTGTATGGTAGCTTAAGCTCAAGCTTTCATTTGTTAAGAACTCAATTGATCTTACAGTCGATTTCTGTGAAACGACTTCTTAGAGAAGCAGTGAATGTTTGTTATCACAAATGCTTTTTGGAAAATGGCATTCATATCTTAAATATCACATAGAGTGTTGCACACACCTGGTGGCCAGGGAGGTCTCCTTTTTGTGACGATGGTTATGATGGACGAAAAGAGACCCTGTGTCGTGGAAGTCACAGGCGCAAAGAGGAGCTGGCACCATTGGGACACAGGACATCCCTGTCAGTGCTCAGTTGGTCGCCCGACAGTTTCCTTTTCTTCTTGAGCCTCAGCGGGGCTTCTGCACTCAGTGGTACATATCGCAGAGCTCTGCAAGACTTGAGATCACCTTTTCCTACTTTTTGACGTACGTGTGCCGTGGAACTCACTTTAGAAATGGTATTTTACAGGTGGCAGATTGAAATGCAGATATATCTGTTCCCTTAAACCAAAATACCACTACTTGGGTTTAAGCCTTCATAGTAAAATGGTAAAACTTTAAAAAGAATCAGTTTTTATTTTGAAGGTGTTGTGTTTACAAGATTGCTAAAATTAAATTCAACTATAAGTACGTGGAGGAGTCTAAAGTTCTACAGAAATTGTGTACAAAGGGAAATAACACCCATGCCTGATGAAATACACATTCACTATTCTGTAAAAAGCAGAATTTCATGTTAGATTCTCTAATACTTTGATCTTCAAAATATGTCCGGGGCTTGGACCGGGGATCCTTAGGCGTCCCTGAGACATTTTCAAGAAATCTGTGGAGTCAAAACTGTTTTCATAATAATACTGAGGTGTTGTTTGCGTGTTTCACTCTTGCCCTTTCGTGAACGTACAGTGGAGTTTTCCAGAGGCTGATGGAGTCTGTGACAGCACAGCAGCCTGGACACAGAAGCCGATGGCAGAATCCAGCTGTCTTTTCCTCAGCTGGACATTAGCTTTTAAAAAATGCTGAACACTGTCTCTGTTTTCACTGATCTATTTCTGTTTTGGAAGAAAACTTTTTTTCATAAAAACATTTATGGTGCCATGTGGATTACTTTCCTCTTGCTGCTGTAACAAATTACCACGAACTTAGTGCCTTAGAACAACCCACATTTATTATTGTACAGTTCTGGAGGTCAGAAGTCTGACACACATGGGTCTCACTGGGCCAAAAGCCAGGTGTTGGCGGGGCTGCGTTCTTTGTGGAGGCTCCAGGGGAGAATCCGTTCTTTGCCTTTTCCAGCTTCTAGAGGCCGCTGGCATTCCTTGGCTTGTGGCGCCTTCCGCCATCTTCAACGCCAGCAGCGTAGCATCTTGATTCCATGGTCAAATTACCTTCTTCTCTAGTCAGACCTCCTTCTGCCGCCCTCTTATAAGGACACTTGTGGTTACATTGGCCCACCTGGATAATCCATGGCCTTCTCCCATGTCAAGATCCATAATTTAATCATATCTACAAAGTTCCTTTGCCATATAAGATACCAGTCACAGGTCCTGGAATTAGGACGTGGATGTATTTGGAGCCCATTGCTCAGGAGACCGCAGGTTTTTGAAGATATCATGAATCCATCTGGCAAATCTTGCTAATGAGTAATTACGTTTTGAAACAAACTGACTGGTTGACACTATCAGATCAAAGATAACGAACATGAAAACTTGACCTTGTAAACTATGAAGACCTCCTCACTTGAGAATATTACTGCCAGCATATTCTTCAGGGTGAATTTACTTCTGGACTAGACTGCGTAGTACGTACATCGTGATAGTATGCTTCTAGTTGGGATTGTCTGGCTATCCTTGGGTCTTGGTGGTAGATGTTTATGCAGCCCATTAGGTTTTGCTGGTGAGTATTGGCTGATACCGCCTTAGTCATAAAGGTAGACATCGTAAGACAGTACATTTCTCTTTGTCTTTTATGTTAAATGATTATCAGTATGAGACAGGGAAAATGCTTTTACATCTTCATGTGGTGATCATTCATTCATTTCCATTTTCCTCCTTCCTTTTTAGGTAATGAAGATTGCTGTAGCAGTTTTGAATTTGCCACAATTATGATGACTTTTTACATCTCTTCTAGGTTGAGGAGATTAGAAACAGTATAGCTAAAATTGCTCAGTATGTCGAAGAAGTAAAGAAAAACCACAGCATCATTCTTTCTGCACCAAACCCAGAAGGAAGTAAGTTTTTGGTCTTACACAAATGTGTATACATCTGTCTGTCTGTGTGCCTCTTCGTGTTGCCCTCTAAAGCACAGCTGCTCTGCCCTGGCTGCTCCTGCGGCTGCCTTGGGATCTCGTACCTAGAGGTGCTCAGCTCCAGGGCTTCTGGCTCGCTTAGGGTGGGCTGGGGCCCAGGCTCAGGGTGGCCTCTTTAAAGCCCCCCCAGGACCCTGGTGTCTAGACAGGGCAAGGACCACTGGCGCATGGTACCCACAAGCACCGAGGGGGACTTTGCGGACCTTGGACCTGCATTGTGTCTGCAGCTACACAGGAGTGACAGGACCTTGTGCTCAGAAGGCAGTTAATAGGAGACTGGTTTGGAAAGCAGTACTTCATGAGCAGATGTGAAGGTGAAGAAAAGGCTAAAAAAGGCTTCCATATGGAACATGCAGTTCCAGATGTCTGTTGAGGACAGCAGGTAAGAAAATGACATTAATTAGCCAGGTGTCGGGGGGCTAGTCCAAGGAAGTGTTTCTGCAGTCTGGACCCTTCACGGAGGAGAAGATCCAAAGGAACCAGAGACCGCAGCTCGGCCGCCGTCCCCAGACCAGGCCCAACAGCGTGTTCTTCCGCTTGTAACGTGTTGTTGAGTGAAGATGGATAAGAAGCCGACAGAAGAAAAGAGTGAAAAGCGTGGAGAAGCCAAACCATCTAGCGGGGCGCATCCTTTGGCTTGGGGACAGCTGGCCCAGTGCAGCCCCGGGGTGATGCTTGGCCACACTGACCCTGTCTTGTTGGTGAAAGGCTACGTTACGTGCTGCATGCTGGGTGTAAATGCAAGGAGTATGGATATTGACATACCTTCGTTGAAATTTAACAATTTTAATGCTTAAGGGAATAAAGTTGAAAAATACCACTTTTGTGGAACAGCTCGTTTTCTGATCATGCCGACTTAAAAACTTAACATATCTGTTACCACTTTCTAGGTTAATCTTTAATTTGTTTTCAGTATGAAGACTGTTTTTGATTTATTTTTTCTTTGGAGGCAGACAGACTTAGACCTAAGTCCTAGTGCATGTCATTTACTGAATAAGGATCCTCCCAATTTACTTGACCTCTGTGGCCTCAGATTTCCCATCTCTGAATGGGTTCTAATGGTACCTGATGCATGCCATCATTGTGAGGAGGATATGAAATAGCTTATGTAAGTGCTTTACACAAGGCCTGGTTAGTTGCAGCATAAGAAAGGCCTGGCAATCTGCTTCTATAAAGATTATAGTCAAGAAAAGCCTTTGGAGCAGTTCTGTTCTAACACATGGGGTCACCGTGAGTTGGAATCAACTAGAAGGCAGTGGGTTTTATTTTTATTTCTATTGTTTTTTTCTTCTTCCTTTTTTTAAAATTGTACTTCAGATGAAGGTTTACATAACAAATAGTTTCTCATTAAACAGTTAGTACACATATTGTTTTATGACAATGGTTAACAACCCCACAACATGTCAACATTCTCCCCTTCTCGACCTTGGGTTCCCTGTCACCAGCTTTCCTGTCCCTTATGCCTTCTAGTCCTTGCCCCTGGGCTGGTGTGCCCCATTAGTCTCCTTTTGTTTTATGGGTCTGTCTAATCTTTGGCTGGACCGTGAACCTCAGGAGTGACTTCATTACTGAGCTAAAAGGGTGTCCGGGGGCCATAGTCTCAGGGTTTCTCCAGTCTCTTGTCAGACCAGTAAGTCTGGTCTTTTGTGAGTTAGAGTTTTGTTCTCCATTTTTCTCCAGCTCTGTCCGGGACCGTCTGTTGTGATCCCGGTCAGAGCAGTCAGTGGTGGTAGCCGGGCACCATCTGGCTGTACTGGACTCAGTCTGGTGGAGGCCGTAGTAGCTGTGGTCTATTAGTCCTTTGGACTAACCTTTTCCTTCTATCTTGTTCTCTTCATTCTCCCTTGATCCTGAAGGGGTGAGACCAGTGGAGTATCTTAGATGGCTGCTCACAGGCTTCTAAGACCCCAGACGCTACTCACCAAGGTCGAATGTAGAGCCAGATACTCCCCGTTGTTTCGTTTTTAGTTGTGGCCTAAAGTCACTAGGCGATAGAAACTTGCTCAGGTCTTTAAATTCACAATAATTCTTTTGAGATACAGACACCAACATAAGGCTACTCCAAATAGTTTTTTTTCACAAAAACATAGTCGTTTTCAGCTTTCCCCCTACCACTGGGAGTGATATGAGTGCCCTCTGTTACCACTTCCATCCAGCATTGGATTGCAGGTCCTAGCCAGGGCATAGGACTGAGAGAGAAAACTCTAATGATTCACAGATGTCATTATCTGGTACATAGATAATCCAACAGAATCTACAAATTATTATAATTAATAATTAATTTAGGAAAGTGATTTACTTATTACTTTGCATTTCTGTATACTAATAACAGAAAATAAAATTTAAAACAGGTACCATTACATTCACATCACAAAACATTGAATACCTAGGAATAGATCTCACGAAAGATGTGTAAGACCTCTTCACTGAAACCTACAAAACATTAATGAGAGAAATTAAGACTTAAATAAAAGGTGGGGTATACCATATTCATTGCAATTACCTTTTTTCAACAACATAAACTGTAGCTATACACATGGACTTCGCTGGATGAAATACACAGGAATCAAATGGACTACGTCTGTGGAAAGAGACAACGGAGAAGCTCAAGATCATCAGTCAGAATAAGGCTAGTGGTCGACTGTGGAACAGACCATCAGTTGCTAATATTCAGGTTCAAACTAAAGCAGAAGAAAATTGGAGCAACTCCATAAGAGCCAAAGTATGACCTTGAGTATATCCCACCTGAATTCAGAGACCACCTCAAGAACAGATACGATGCATTGAACTCTGATGGCCGAAGACCAGAAGAGTTGTGGAATGACATCATGAAGAAAGCAAAAGGTCATTAAAAAGACAGGCAAGAAAGAAAAGACCAAAATGGATCGTCAGAAGAGACTCTGAAACTTGCTCTTGAACGTAGAGTAGCTAAAGCAAATGGAAAAAATGAAGTAAATGAGTTGAACAGAAGATTTCAAAGGGCAGGTCGAGAACACAAAGTAAATTATTATAATGACATATGCAAAGACCTGGCGTTAGAAAAACAAAAGGAAGAATATGCTGGACATTTCTCAAGCTGAAAGCACTGAATAAAATATTCAAGCCTCGAGTTGCAATAGTGAAGGATTCTATGGGGAAAATATTAAACAATGCAGGAAGCATCAAAAGAAGGTGGAAGGAACACACAGAGTCACTGTACCAAAAAGAATTGGTCGAAGTTCAACCATCTCAGGAGGTAACATATGATAAGAACCGATGGTACTGAGGGAAGAAGTCCAAGCTGCACTGAAGACATTGGTGAGAAACAAGGTTCCAGGAATTGACGGAATACTAGCGGATGCAGTGCTAGAGGTGCTCACTCATCTATGCCAAGAAATTTGAAAATCCAGTGAGGGGGTAAGTTCAGGGTCTGTCAAATGACCACAGGGACCCTAAGGTGGGGGTGGGGGTCCACTGCTGTCCCTACAGCGTCTCCCCAAAGGAAGGAGACATCTTTCCGTACGATCCCATTCACCACAGAAGTAGTGCAGAAATGGGGCTGGCGTGCAGGGGAGTATTTCTGCTGTGTGCTTGGTCTCTGAAGCGGTACCAAGGCAGATGCTGCTCGATGGTGACAGCTGGCCGGCACCCAAGTCTTAGCACCTTGCAGAGTATCAGCGCTTGGCATCTAGCTGGCTGCCTCTATACTAGTGAGTCAGGCCTCGTGGGCCTGTCCCCCTAAGCTGACTGTGTCTATCTGTGGGTGCACTAGGTCCAGTGCGATGCCTCCTGCTTGCTGCCTGACCGTCAGAGAAGCCAGGCTCTTGGATTTAAAGAAATAAAAGAACACCCACGGTGGGGATCACTAGGCTTTGTGCATTGCTGTCATGTGGTGTTGATGTTTCTTGATTGGATAGTAGATGGGAAAGAAAAACCCAGGAGACCGCTTTTTCAGAATAGGGTTAAATCTCTGCTTTCCTTTTTGAGGTCTAGGTGATAGAAGTGATTTAGTCAGCTGTGTCCTCCGTGAGTTAGTACAGATCAGCACTGCTCACACTCACACGTGGTTAAGACAAAAGGCTGGACCACCCACCCCAGCGAGCTGCTGCTGGTAGGTGGGGTGGGACAGAGCTCCTCTTGTGTTAGCGGTATGGAAGCTGCTGGCCCGGGACCCCCAGCTATGCAGGGTTTACTCGAGAGAAAAAACAAAACAACTTGTGTATATATAATTCAAGTTGAGTATTAATGTCGCCTTTAAATTTATTGGACTTTGTTTATGTTGAATGCCATTGCTCACATGCCTTTTTTTAAAAAATTTTTAGAGATAAAAGAAGAGCTTGAAGATCTAAACAAAGAAATCAAGAAAACTGCTAATAAAATTCGAGCCAAGTTGAAGTGTAAGTGTAAAGTTTTGATTATATTTAGTTATTGATGGTGGGAATATGGGTAACTGCTAATTTCTTTTTAATTTTTCCTCCTTTTATATTTTCGAAGATCAAGATCGTGACCACTTTAAAATAACTTATTTGCATGTACCTAGGACAGTAAACCTGTGAGTTATTCTGGATGGTTGTTAATCCTTAAATTTAGGAGAAAAGCACTAATTCACACTCAACAGGATTAAGCACTTGCTTATAAATTATTAATCTCTTTCTACTGTTATATTTTTATGACTTTTTTGGCTAGATTGCAAATGTTTGAGAAGGTGAAATCTTTAAAATGTATTACTGGTTTTTTTCTTGGCTGGTTATTTCAGCTGGTGGGTTCTTTTAAACTTTAAGTGCAATTCAGCTTAGTTTTATGGTGCTCATTGTTCGGCTTTAACAGCCGTGCTTTCTGGGGTGTTTATAGCTGTTGTAAGGGGCTTGAGCATAAGTTGCTTTTTCTTGATATAGTAGGAAGACGCCTTGTATTTAATTTTTACAAAAGACCATGAAATCAAGAACAAGCTCCTTGCAGATTTAAAAAAAAAAAACTCTTATTGTGGAAAAGGTCAAACACACGTGGAGGCAGAGAGGCTGCCCCCACACTCAGTGTCCTCACCCTCGGCTCCTACGGCTCTCAGTGCAGCCTGCCCACTCCACCCACCTCCCGTCATAGCATTTCGCTGTTGCACGTCAGCATGCCTTTCTCAAACACAGGGACTGCTTTTCCCAAAAAACATAGTCACTGTACTATTGTTAGATCTAAATGAAATTAATTACAATTATTTAATATTAGTACATTATTAGTAAACATATTTAAAGTATAATGTATACCCGTTGCCACTGAGTTGATTCCAACTGTACAGCAACTCTGTAGGACAGGGGGAAACTGCCGTATAAGGTTTCCAAGGCTGGAATCTTTACAGAAGCAGACTGTCAGATTTTTCTCCCTTGGAGCGGCTCGTGGGTTCGAACCTCTGACCTTTCAGTTAACAGCTCAGTGCCTTAACCACTGCGCATGCAGGGCTCCTATTAACCTGTTGCTGTCAAGTTGATTCCAACTCATAGCAACCCTATAGGATAGAGTAGAACTGCCCCCATAGAGTTTCCAAGGAGCACCTGGTGGATTTGAACTGCTGACCTTTTGGTTAGCAGATGTAGCTCTTAACCACTGTGCCACCAGGGTTTCCAGGGCCCCTGTACTGTATAATATATAATCTTTTTATTAATAGCCAGTCAGTTTACATTTCCCCAGCAGTCTCGTGATTTGTATGTGTGTGTGTGTCTACAGGTGGTTTCAGTTGGGATCCCAATAAGGACCATACACTATGGCTGGCTGGTACACCATTTAAGACTTTTCAGATCAGGTTCTCCCTCGGTCTTTCCCCCAGCACTTTTACCTTTTGGTGCGGAAACCGCTCATTTGTGCCACTGAGCATTTGCCCTTTGCTCAGGGGGGTTTGTTTTTTAATGGCAAGACAGAACATCTGGTTCTGTCATCACAACGCTCCGTAAATCCACTAGGAGTTGTAAACAGTGATATCCTAATTTTTTATTCATTCTTTATGTACGAGCTGGAATGGTTCCCTCTTCACCTGTGGTTTCCTGAGGTACAGACTGCCTGGGAAAGATGGGACAGGTGCTGGATTCTTTGCCTTCGTATGCTGTTCTCATGGCTGGCTCCCTAGCACCCTGCAGAGATGACCAGTGAGACCTTTGTTTCTGGTTTATTGTTATGAACACTTGGATCTGGACATATCTAACACGTGTCCATCCACTGGTCTTCTCCTCAGTGTCCCATTTGGGGCCTGCCGGAGCCTGTGCAGGGTGACACCTGAGTCCTTTTGACATGGCCCTTGTGGCCTTTGATGGTCTTCCTGCCTTCTGGCAAGACAGGATGGTCCCGGTCCATGTCATACATTTCCCTCCCCAGACCTAGAATCAGCCACTTCTCCAGGGAGTCCTGTTCCTTTTGTTAGATAATTGTTTTTGAGCCCAAGATTCGGGTGCTCGAGGCACATATTGCTACGCACTGAATGATTTGACCATTGTTTTTAGGCCCTTTCAGTGGGCAGAGCTAGGACTTTTTTTTTTCTTTTTAAAGATAAGGTGAGTCATGAATTCCTACTGATATTTCCAAGTTAAGAACTGAGGATTTTTACTTAACCTGAAAGATAATCACATCTGTGTCTCCTTCCAACTATGGCCCAAATCCTGGTTCTCAAGGACATTGAGATAGTTGCCCATTTGCTTTATGCTGTAGTACACACACAGTGCATTCCGAATGATGATGCAGACATCTGTTATCAAGAATAGTGTGACTTGAGGCCGACTCTTCAGACAAAGGTTAGACTGGACTGTGGGACATAAAATGACAACTCATGAAGAGTGTGCTTCTTTGCTCAAGTAGATACATGAGACTAAATGGGCAGCTCCTGTCCGGAGACGAGATGGGAAGGCAGAGAGGGTCAGGAGCTGGTTGAATGGACATGAGAAATCCATGGTAGAAAGAAGGAGTGTGCTGTCACAGTATAGGAAGAGCAACTAGGGTCACATAGCAATGTGTGTATAAATTTTTGTATGAGAGACTAGCTTGAATTGTAAACTTTCACTTAACGGACAACAATGATAATAAAAACGAATAGGGTTACTTAAAAACAGTTTGTGATCGTTGTTGTTCTTTTTGTCTTTAGGTATATCCCACTTGGGATAGACAATCAAAATTATTGGGTTTTAAAGTCACTTTGCATAGTTCTCTGTGTGATTATGTTACCACCTTGAGGTGCAGTTAGGTGTTTTTGTTCCCTTTTATTTTTGATTTTTAGGGATTGCTTTTTTAAAACGTTAGTTTTGCTTTCTAGTTTTGTCAGGTCATTCACGTCATTCCAAAGTCAAGTCTATAAAGCCAGGTATAGTCAGAGAAGTCCAGCTTCTCTCCCTGTCCCTCCACCTCGCTCCTCCTTCCCTTCAAGCATAACTGAGTTACCTTTCCATTGTTTTTTTCTATAAGTAGATATACGTACACACACATATATATATATAGAGAGAGAAACAGAGAGAGAAAGCAAAGTTTCCTCTTGATGGATGATCTTTTTAGTGGATTACCTTAAAAGGTCACCTGTTCATTTGCTTTATGAAGAGATATTATTCAGAGATAAGACGGAAAAGCAATTTGAGGTTTGGGCTGAAAAACTTCCGTTTTTAATTTAAAAGGTAACTGTCTTCTGTTTGTTCCTAGCTATTGAACAGAGTTTTGATCAGGATGAGAGTGGCAACCGGACATCCGTGGATCTTCGGATACGACGGACCCAGGTTTGCGGAGCAGCCGCTCTAGACTGAAGTCATTAGTGCCCCAGGATGAGTCGCAGGCTAGAGATAAGTCCATCTTTGCTGTCATGTGCATACACGTTTCTGCATAAAAAGGATACAGTGTTCATAGACTATTGTTGTGGGTGCCGTTGAGTCAATTCTGACTCATAGCGACCTCAAGTGACAGAGTAGAACTGCCCCTAGGGTTTTCTAGGCTCTAATCTTTATGGGAACAGATCACCATCTCTATTACAAAGGAAAAACACTGCATTCAGCCTATCAACAGACTTATATTCTGAAGCGCAGAGAATTTTCCAAATCATGTCAGCATTGGTGGCCAGGTCATCATGTGGTGGCTTATGGTGCAGGAAGGTTGGAGATGAGTCCTGGACTCTACCTGACAAGGTGGCAGCTAAGTGTGCCGGCTCTGGGGCCAGCCTGCCTGGGTTCCAAACCCGATTCCCATCTTACTCATAGAGCCTGTCACCACCACCCTCAAGTCGTGGCTTTCTCTTCTTTAAATCGAGGACCTAATAGTAGAGTAGGGTGATTGTGAGAATGGAGTGAGCTGGTGCTGTTCCCATTTCCCATTGAAGGAGTAGTGTGATAGTTTCAGTTTCTGAAAAGTAATGTTCCTCAATGGAAGAAATGACCGCCACATATTGTTCTGATTTTTCTACATTGTTAGCATTCAGTGCTGTCTCGGAAGTTTGTGGAAGTGATGACAGAATATAACGAGGCACAGACTCTGTTTCGGGAGCGGAGCAAAGGGCGCATACAGCGTCAGCTGGAAATAAGTGAGTGAGTGATTGCAAGTTTTACATGAGTTAAAGACATACTTTTCTTCCTTAGGGCCTCACTTCAAAGTACATTAACTTCAAAAGAGTAATTCCATCCCTGGTTTTACCAGTATTATAAAACCCAAAGACCTTTCATAACTTACTGCTCTTTGAATCTTCCCAACCTGTTATTATGTCTCTCAGGAAGTTCTAGGTGAGTGGACTTCAAATTGCTTTTAATTCCCATTAGTATTAGAGTTCTAATCAAATTTGGAAACATTTTCACCATTATTTCTTCACACATTTTTTTCTGTCTGCCCCCAACCCCTCCTGCCCTGGGTCCGGAGGAATTCCCCACAGATCTCTGCGAGTCTTGTGAGCAGAGACGCTGACCACCCTTTGGTTCTGGGTGACATTTTCCAGGATGGTTTTGCAGCAGACAGCCTGCAAAGGTAGAGGTAGTGTCTCCGTCCAGAGCCGAAGGCACTTTGCTTTCATGGTGAAGCTCAGTCAGGCTTGCTGTCTCTCCACTATACAAGATCAGGGTTCCATAAACTCGGGGGTCCTCAGCTGTGACTTGTTAGCGTGCAAGTAGGTAAACTCTGAGCTCGTTCACAGCTCTTGACCCCCCCGCCACTTCATCTCCTTCAGAGACTAATCACAGGTGTGTTAGGTGGGCTGACGTCATCCTACAACTCACAGATGTACTTCTAGTTGTTATAAAATTCTTATAAATCTTTGTATCCCTTTTCTAATCTGCCTTTCATCCCCTCCAGTGTGTTTTTACTCTCGGACATTATCGTCTTCATCTCCGGAGGTTCTCTTTGGGTCTTTTTCTATCTTCCATGGCTCAGCCTACCTGAACGTTGGGAGTACAGGTAGAGCCGTCTGAAATCCTTGTCTGACAATTCCAACATCTGTGTTCTGAAATCCTTGTCTGACAATTCTAACATCTGTGTTCTGTGCTGGTTTCGACTGTTGATTTTTCTCCTCATTAGGAATTACGTTTTCCTGTCTCTTTGTGTGCCGGGTGATCTCTGGATGCCAGACATTGGGAATTCTGCCTTGTTTGGTGGTGGATATTTTTGTATTCCTGTACATATTTTAGGGTCTTGTTTTGGCTTGCAATTAAATCACTCAGCCACAGTTTAATTCTCTTGGGTCTATGAAAAAACTGTAAAGTTTTTCATGGATGTTTTCCAGTTCTTCCCAATTCTTAATCATCTGTTATTTTTTTCTCATCATTAATACTTGCCTAAGAAAATACATTTGAAAGGATTAGAAAAACGTTGTTTGAAAATGTTAACAACTTAATTGGATTTTAGTTGTGAACTTATGGTTGAAAAGGTCCTCATTTTAAAACATTCTGAATAGATAGATCTTCTTCTTGTTAATCTTTAGCTGGAAAAACCACCACCAATGATGAGCTAGAAGAGATGCTGGAGAGTGGGAACCCTTCCATTTTCACCTCAGATGTGAGTGCAACATGTCTTCATTTAGCTACAGTTTGCCCTTAGCTTCCACACCCATCATGACTTCATATTTCTCTCTTGTGTGCTTTTCAAAGATTATATCAGATTCACAGATCACAAGACAAGCTCTCAATGAGATTGAGTCACGTCACAAAGATATCATGAAATTGGAGACCAGCATACGAGAGCTGCATGAGATGTTTATGGACATGGCTATGTTTGTTGAGACTCAGGTAATCACGCAAATCCTAATTCTCTGAAGTAGATAACCTGTCGTGGGGAAAATCTCATATTTGAGCCTGTTATACCTGGGAAAACCATTGTTTTGGGTCCAGTCTCAAAATTCAAAAATTCATTGCAGTGTTAAATGTGATATGGAAGCACTGGAAACAGATAGCCGACAGCAGGGGGCTGGTCTGCTTCATTAAGCAATGGCCCGCTCATAGGCAGCGTGTTGGGCAGCTGTAGGCCCAGGACTCATTCTCTGCATGCCTCTCCAGCCTTTTGAAGAGCATTGTTTATTTTGAGGAACTCTATCATAAAAATGTGCATGAAAATTTAGATGCCATGAATTTGTCAGAAAAAACCAATAGCTGCATGGGGATGGGTGTGGCACAACTTTAATCTTTTTAATTTTGGGTGGACCCATTGCCATCCATGATGTGAGGAATTGGGAGAATGGGATGTGACTACCACCAGCTTCTTATTCTCAGGAAGTATTCCAAAGGAAACCAGTTAGACAGTAAGAGTCTTAGACTATGTTTGTAATAACCAAAGATTGTACAATATCTTAGACCTTAATTCTAACTGTTTTATACCAATGGTATTATTTTAAGCTCCATTAGAAAAATCGCTGTATTCTTAGCTTTGTTTCATGGTTTACTTTTAGAAGTATTTGTATTGTGTTATATTGGCTCATCTAATTCAAAATATATGTGTAGTTAAAACTTAGCAGTAAGTTTACATTACTGAATGAACACGTTGATTGTCCGTCACTCTTCAATGCTTTACTATTATTCACTGCTGCAGAGTATGTCTGCCGGGGACGGAAAACCAGGTAACATGTCTTCTCCCTAACATTTCGCTGGGGTCACCTCCGTTTATGTTTTTGCTCATTAATTAACTCAGTGTCCAGCATAAGTTACATTTAGTTTACTGATATTTTAAAGAAATAGCAACAATTTTCTACCCGTTAGAAAAGATGCCATTTGTTGTATATTGTATGTTTGTGCATAATAGTAAAATATTAGCTTAACTTAAAGCAAACTTCCTTCCCTTCACTGTGCTCATCTTTGACAAGAATGCTCACACATTAAAGCATATCTCAGCATCTCATTGATATACCTTTAATGTCAGCATTGCTGCCCACTCCTCTTAGTTCTCTTTAAAATATAAATAGAATTTCAAGTGCTTTCTGTTAGCACATTTATAGTGGGTCTTACCTTTCACCTCTCTGTAAATGTGAAAATAAACATATTCAGAATCCATTACATGCACTTCATGTTTGTATAAAAACTTCACTGATGTTTCGTGGTTATCTTCAGATGCCTAATCAAGTCATTTCAAAATGTCTTCTGAATTTGAAACTTTTTACTTTAAGGGTGAAATGATCAACAACATAGAAAAAAATGTTACGAATGCCACAGACTATGTAGAACATGCTAAAGAAGAAACTAAAAAAGCTATTAAATATCACAGCAAGGCAAGAAGGGTGAGTTTGGTTTTTAAGAATTAAAGTGCATTTTTCTGTAAATCTGGTATCAAGTTATAATATGTTACTGTAAGCCTGGTTATAAGGTTTTCCAAGAATTAAGTTTTTTTGTTTTTTTTTATTGTTGTAGTTTAAATGACATTTACATTTCAAGTTAGTCTCCCATACAAAAGTTTATACACACATTGTTATGTGACCCTAATTGCTCTCCCCATACTGTGACAGCACACTCCTCCTTTCCAGCCTTGATTCCCCATGTCCTGTCAACCAGCTCCTAACCCTCTCTGCCTTCCCATCTCACCTCCAGACAGAAGCTGCCCGTTTAGTCTCTTGTATCTACTTGAGCTAAGAGGCACACTCCTCATGAGTACCACTTTATGTCCCACTGTTCAGTCCAATCCCTGTCTGAAGAGTTGACCTTGGAAATTATTTTAGTTCTGGGCTGATGGAGAATCCAGGGGCCATGCTTTCTGGGGTTCCTCCAGTCTCAGGCCATTAAGTCTGGTCTTACTAGAATTTGAGTTCTGCACTCCACCTTTCTCCTGCTCCATCAGGGACCCGGTGTTGTGTTCCCTGTCAGGGTGATCATTGGTGGTAGCCAGGCACCATCTAGTTCTTCTGGTCTCAGGCTGATGAAGTCTCT